ACCAGGAGAAGTCCCATGAGAGGAGCGGAGTGCGAGCCAGCGGTGAAGGGCATGCCGTGGCATGGTGAGCTCAGGAGGGGCCTTCACTTGGTATTCCACAGTCGGCCTGCTCAAACTCCAGCCCCGGTACCAGTCAGAGAGCTTGCCACAGGCTCCACTCCACCACTTTCGCCTTGCCTCTTGGCTGAGCTGCTTGGCCACTGTGCGGACCCCACTGACTGTGGGTGTGGCCTCGAGACCATAGGCTGGGGCTGCAGTGGATGAGACTGCCCGCTTAGCCAAGCGGTCTGCTTCCTCATTGCCCTCTATCCCCATATGCCCAGGAGCCCACTTCAGGCCGACATTGTGCTGTCTGAGGAGCTCATGGCAGCGGTTGTAGGCCCAGTTTGAGGAGGCTGCTGCACTGCCCCGTATGCCCCAGATGACTGAGGTGTTGTCGAGGCAGAGCCAGATCTGAGGGTTGCTGCTGTCCTCTGTGACACAAGGTAGGAGCTTCACGGCGCACTCCAATGCCCGGCAGGCACCAACTGCCTCAGCGTCGAAGACATGTGACATAGGGCTCAGCGCAGCTGAGAAGCTGGCCAGCTGTTTATTTCCCTGATAGACTATGAAGCCATAGCCCACCTGCCTGCTGTTGTCAAGGTTCCGTTCTGATCCATCTGAGAAAACATATAGATCTGTTGAGGGTTGACTTCTCCACCATTCCTTGAATGCCTGAGCAGCACTCTTTTTGTCTACACCCTCTGTGGGGTCTGTCCCCGCATCCCTCTGAGTAGTGTGGGGATGGCAAGTGTGGGTCTATTGACTGCAGGTAGCAGCGCCCCCAACCGCTGGACCTTGGACTTTGAGCGCTGCCGGGTTCCAGCCCCTCTTCCTCGTGTGATCATTGGAGGTGCTATCCGTGAAGCCAGTGGGTGCTTCTCATCCACCACCTGAAGCCTTGTCGCGAATCGAATTTTGGCCTCCTCCAGAGCTACCATTGCTGATGGGAGCCCAGCATCCCGGTATAGGGTAGCGATGGGCGTTGTACGGAAAACTGGGAGGACCCCTCTGGCTGCCATAGTAAGCACCTTCTCAACTGTCCTTTGCAATGGGCTGAGTCTTCTCAAGAGTTGCCACCTGGATTCTGTTTTCTCTCTCTCTCTGTGTACATAGAAATCTCTCCAGCGTAGCACGTCTCCATGCCCTTCGGGAGGCTTCTGAAACACGGGCGCTGCCCGTGTTTTCTCCGGGACGTTAAACCTATACATACATACATATATCCTTTCTTATATTTGTAGCATTCAATTTATGAAGATTTAACTGATCTATCTTTAAAAATCAGTTTCAGTATGTTAAGTCCTTTTGAAAAACTTGATCTAGCTCTACATAGTTATTAGTAGAAACAATAGACTGAAACACAATCAAAGCATCTGTATT